TAATAATACTATTATTTTTTATTTTTAATAATCTAACATCACCTAAATTATAAGATAATACAAGGTTTTTAATGTCTAATGGTAAATCATAAAATATCATATAATATTAATATATTTATTTATTTAATTAGTAATTTTCAAATAATGTGAAAAGTTTTTCATAAAGATACGGTTAGGGTCTTTTTGGAGAAGGTTAATATATAAAAAGCTATGTGGTTGTTCAGTTGCTTTTTCATATATTTTATAAATTAGTTTCTTGCTTTCGTGTAAATTATCGCTTCTAACAATTGCTGATAATTCATCTTGCAATATTTCTATCTCTTTGAAGTTTCTAACTTTATAATAAAACAAATGACTTATATTTACTCTAATAATTGGTGGGACACTTGATGATTTCTGAAGACTGACAAGCGTTGATATTCCACTATGACGTCCCCTACAGAATAAAGAATTTAACAATTTGTTATTTCTTGTTATTGCTGGATTATCAGATACATCATCCAATATGACTAATATATTAAATAACTTCTTCATTCCTTGTTTTTTCTGATATTCAATTATTTTATTTTGAGTTTCTATAACTCTTTCTAAATCTTCAACATTGAACTCATCCCACCAACACGGTTCTTTATCAGTATCTACTTTCAAACCTTCTTTAATGTATTTTTTGACAGGCAACCAAATACTATCCAAATTTACAGATGGGGACCAGATAAAAACTCTTTCAAATGCTCCTCTATAAATATCAAGTATCATTGATACAAGTAAAGTTGATTTTCCACTTCCAGATGGGCCGACAATCATAGCTCTCATCGGCAATTTAGGGACGACCTCATGCTTACTTTGCTTAAAGTCATATTTGATTTCATCAATTGGTTTTACATCAGGCATAATAAAATAATATTAAAGACATTTAGAAAATAATTTAATATTTATTATTTTATATGAATAGAAGTTATTCAGATTATATTGATATAATAGATGAAATAGAGAAATAGAACAAGTTGTTATAACTAATAATAGATTTAAGAAAATATGCTATTTTGTTTTAGAATTAATTAAGTTTGTGATACAATATATTAAAAATATAAATATTAATATAGATGGGAAGAAAGAAAAAGAATAAGACTGAACCAGTTATTGCTTCAAGTGATGAAGAAAAAGAAGAAACTGTTAAAGAAACATCAGTCATTGAGTTTGCTTGTCCAATGTGTAAAAAGATGTTAGAATTAAAAAATGAATTAGAAATAAAAAATAATAAAAATTGTAAATGTTCATGTATTCCAACAAGTTTCAAAATAAGTAAAAATGATAAGAAAATGAATATTGATAAAACTAAAGACAGTATCAACTTAGAAACAGATGTTCATAATATTACATTTAAATGGGGTCGGAACGCTACTCCATCCGATAATGGTGATAAGGAAACACAGGAAACTGTTAAACAAATAATGAAAAATTAGTATTTAAAGAGTAGATTTAACATAATTGCAACATTTAGTTTTAAAAGTTTAGTTTTATAATTTAGTATATATTTACATGGATGAAGGATTAGAAAAGATTGTTAAAAAACTGAACAAGGTTTTAGAACAGAATAAGAATATTTTAGAAATCTTGCAAGAAATGGAAAAGAAGAAACCAGTAACAAACAGTTATCAAAGTAAAGAAGTAGATAGAACCAATGGGGAATATAAAAATAAAAGAAATATTTATTTAAACAAACTTAATAACAAAGAAATTAAAGAACCGAAGGCTTCAACTATGACATTTTATCAAATTGACTATGACGAGGAAACGCAACTTTATTCATAAAGTTGTATTTACTCATAGATAATATTATCTAAATATCTTTAATAATGAACTTATTAGAGATGTTTAGCGGAACAGGCAGTGTTGGACTTGTTGCAAAGTCGCTCGGTTTCAATGTTATTTCATTGGATTTGAAAAATGCTGATATAAATACTGATATTTTGAAATGGGATTATAAACAATTTGATAGGAACCATTTTGATTTTATTTGGAGTAGTCCCCCATGCACTGAATATAGTGTTGCAAAAACTAGGGGAATAAGAAACATTGAATATGCTAATAGTATAGTTTTAAAAACTATTGAAATTATTAAATATTTTAATCCTAAATATTTTGTAATCGAAAATCCTCAAACTGGATTATTAAAAAATCAGGAGTTTATGGATGAGTTTGATTTTAAAGATGTAGATTATTGTAAATATGGATTTAATTACAGAAAACGCACTAGGCTATGGAATAACATTACAACTTGGAAACCTAGAGATTTATGTAAAAAGGATTGTGGCAACATCAGGAATAATAAACATATTGAAACAGCACAACGGTTACCATCGGGCACTAAGGAAAAATGGGGAGACAATCCAATAAAACATAAGCAGGAAGACTTATACAGAATACCCCAAAACCTCATTAGTGATATTTTAGTGTCTCTCTTTTGAAATGTCAAAGCAAGGTGCAGATTTGAAGCATTACCGCTCTACCACTTCCTCAAACTGGATTGAATTGTAAAGTGGATGGGTTTTAACCCCAAAGTGGATGGATTTGAAACCCAAAGTGTATGGATTTGAACCCCAAAGTGTATGGATTTGAACCCCAAAGTGGATGGAGTTGAACCCCAAAGTGGATGGATTTGAATCCCAAAGTGGATGGATTTGAACCCCAAAGTGGATGGAGTTGAACCCCAAAGTGGATGGATTTGAATCCCAAAGCGATATATTTCATATCCAAAGTGGATATATTTCATATCCAAAGTGGATATATATTGAATACACAAAGTAGATATACATATATATGTGTAATATATATATATATTGAATATCCAAAGTGGAAATATATCGAATATCCAAAGTGGATATATTGAATATCCAGAAGTGGATATGTTTAATACCCAAAGTGGATATGTTTAATATCCAAAGTGGATATATTTAGAATGTCTATACCATTTGAAATTAAAGCAACCTCTGGTTTGGAGTTCATACTATAATAATAACATGTAAAATCTTATATGTTATAATTATATTGAACTTATGGTTTGTTTCTTATTTTTCTTAATGCCTTAAAAATGACTTAAAGAAATAGTGCCTTAATATAATAAGAGGAAAATGAATGGTGATAAAATCAATAATTATATCAATAAAAAATGCTATGATTGTTGTCACTTCAAAAAAGAAAATATGGAATTGTATAAATTAAATTTACCTAATGAAATAGTGAATAATATTATTAATTATTCAATGGATGAAGAAGATTTATGTAAAATTTGTAGAAATTGGAGATATTATCAAGAATTAATCAGATGTCTGTTGGGAATAAAAAGAATTCGACATAGAAATGTAGAAGATGATATTTTAATATTTCTAACTGTAAATAAAATACCACCTTATGATTATGTTAAACAGTTTCTTAAAATTAGTAAGAAAAATATGAAATGATGGATGATATATTATGGTTGTTGTGTTATAGTCAAGATAAAGGAGAAGATGTTAAAGAAAATATCAAATTATTTATTGAAAGTAAAAAGTTTAATATTCAAAATACATTGAGAGATATTAATATTATTTTTAAAATGATGTATGAAAGAAGAAAGATTTGTCAATTAAATTATTATCCTGTACTGAAATTATAATCATACTATAATAATAACATGTAAAATCTTATATGTTATAATTATACTGTACTTATGGTTTGTAAAGATTGAAATATTTTATTTTTCTTGATTTGCTTGTCTCTTTCAAAGTGCGTTGTTTGAACTTGGCATGCTCTTTTGATTTTTTCGTGCTTTGGCTGTTTGTATTTTATTTTGTTTGATACTCTTCTGATATTTTTTGATGGTATGTTGCTTTGTTTTTGATTTTGTGTGTTTTTGAGTTTGTGTTCTTTGATGGTTTTTATTTTTGCTGTTTTGTTGGTATGCTTGTTTGAATTATTTAATGTTTTATGCTTTGATTAAATATTTTGTTGGGGGTTGTTCTGGTTTTTGAGTTGCTTGGTGGTTCTTATCTTGTTTTCTGTGAATTTTGCTGATTTTGTTTGAATATTTGTTTGATGGTTTGATGTGGGGGGGGGGGGGGGGGGGGAGGGGGGGGGGGGGGGGGGGGGGGGGGGGGGGGGGGGGGGGGGGGGGGGGGGGGGGGGGGGGGGGGGGGGGGGGGGGGGGGGGGGGGGGGGAGGGGGGGGGGGGGGGGGGGGGGGGGGGGGGGGGGGGGGGGGGGGGGGGGGGGGGGGGGGGGGGGGGGGGGGGGGGGGGGGGGGGGGGGGGAATCCAGAATTCCAGAAATCCAGAGATCCAGAAATCCAGAGATCCAGAAATCCAGAGATCCAGAAATCCAGAAATCCAGAAATCCAGAAATCCAGCCGACGTAGAAACCAGCCCCAAGGGCCGCCCCAAGGGACATATAGGTTATATCTATATATACATATATATATCTACATAATCATATTCACATTAAACTTATAGAAAGCATATCAACAAAAGCAACACAGAACACACCGCCCCCATGCCGAAAGCATGGTCCATTCTGGACCAGGCATGGGGTCGGCGGATTTAGCCACACAAGCAGCTGGAAGGTGCCGTTTTCCAAAACCGGCCCACGGTTTGACTATCCCGCTGTTAACCATGTTGGGTCATTCCAGAAATGTCCACATGGCATGGTGTTTCTCGCACGGCCTGCGCACAGAGAATGCCTCCTTGGCGTGTTTCCTTCCAGTTTCAGCCCGGCAAAATGCCGGGTTCCTTTTGTGTACCCTTTCAACACCCCGGGAAGCGCAGAACATTCACGACCCAAACCGAGTTTGAAACCACTCCTTGGGTAGCATGCCTCAAGGTGAAAACTCTCTTTTTTTCCGGGTGCCCAAGCTCCAATTTGCCATAGCTTCAAGCAGGCAGATCCCAACGAGCCTGGAGCCACACCCACCTCGGCGGCCAAACTGGTGTGTTCTACTTGGCCTAGATTAAATAAATGAAGCTCAGAATTAGAATGCCTATTGCATGCCTTTGACAGCCATGGCGCTATTCAGATTTGCGCTGGTGGTTTGCGCGGCGCTTGCCGCGCTGTCCCCGGACATCTCGGACTTGGAGTTGGACGGAGCGCTGAGCTACTCAGGCACTTCAGGTTGAGGTTTGGGTCCTAGCCCTGTCTTTGACTTCAGGACTAACTTCAGGAAAAGTGTGCTACTTTCGTGTTCTTTGGGGTGTCAGGTATCCTCAATTGGTGTTTTGGATTGGTGGTATGGGATTTGAACCCCTGGTTCTTGTTGGGGGTAAATGCAAACTCCAAAAGCTCATCATTTCCAAAACGGGAGTCAAATGCAATTGGAGGGACGGCTGCGGATTTTCAAACGGAGGTCAGCAGAAAACCTCACTTTTCAAGACGCTTTACCCAAAGTCCAGTTTGCCTGCTCTTACGTGGTCGCATGAAGTCAGCCGCTAGCCGCATGTCTTGCATCCAAGTTTTCCAAGCCATCAGCAATTGTGATTTGACACAGTTCTCAGTGCGCCTGCTTCAAGACTTGCTGACCACGATGACCCTCTTGCCAGAACCGCTTGCTGCATTCAACTCACCTGGATGTTGACTTGTCCCGAATGAAGCGCATTCTGCCCAGTTTGGAAGTCTTTAAATGTCGACCACGGCGGTATAAGCCTGGTTTTGTTTTGTTTTCTTGGCGGGGGTTGCGAAAAGTGACAAATTATTAACACATTGACCTCATTGACCTTGAACCCCTGCATAGGAGCTCGAGTGGGGCCCTCCGGCTCACCAATTCATCGCGTTGGCTCACCTGTGCAGCCAGGCCAAGTGACCCTTACCCTTTTAGCGACTCAAGTTCCTCGCTCGGAGTACCCTGCTTGCCAGGACGCATGGTTTCGCAGAAATCTTGGGCTGTTTACTGATGGCACCAGTGCAGGTGTGCCAGACTTCGAAAATGGTTTGACATAGCACACGGTGTTCATACCTGACAAATCTGCGCATTCTAGGAACAATAGCAACAGCACCAGATGGTCACATGCACTCCCATGGTGACCATCGGCTAGATGAGTTCCAGTCTGGCCCATATAAGCTTCCAGCTCGGGGATGTCCGTGAAGGGTCAAATCGCCCATTGCCGCAGGCGTTATCTTCAGTGTGGCACCATCGCGCCACCAGCTGCTTAGATGCTCGGCGCAGAGCTTTTTGGGGCGAGCAGCCGAAAGCTCAATTAGATCAGCTGTCATGGGTTCTTTGGGCCGTAGCTGTCATGACTCCTGACTATACCCTCTTCCAACAAAAACATGGTGTAAGTATGTGATAGTATGTGTATACATAAGCATAAACAGATACGTATAGATTATGTGTTGGAAGGATGCCCCGGCAAAAACATGTGTTAGTTATATTGGATTTCTCTTGTGAACCGCACATGTGTACAACACGCACATGGTGTAGATATATGTTGTTTCTACGTGTATACGTGCATGTCTGTTCGTACGCATTGGAAGGGGCGTGGTTTGCCAACAGGACATGAGCCCATGGAGTGCTACATGTTTGACGAGTTGGTTGGCAGGCTGTGGGAAACTCCAAGTCTAGAGCTTTCAGGTTCCGAGGGGGCGGTGATCCAAATGTCCTTTACATGGGATGACCGTTGGGGAAAACCACCAAAAATAGGATATGTCCCACTAAATGGGACAAGTTATCCATGAATATTGATCAACCTCCATTTGGAGATGGTTTCAGTGCCAACTTGTTGCTCCTTTCTACGGATAAAATTAGAGCGAGAAGTTTGGCGAGATGGGTCCAAACGCATTCCCGTTTCCATTTTGAAAGGTTCTTCAAAAAATGGGCTCTGCGCCAACGTGTGTGGGGGATTGTTTTTTCTTCACTGAGGGGCAGTTGCTCGTTTGGGGTTGTTTGAAATGACCAGCAGGAGCCGCCCAGTTTGGGGTTCCAGTTTTGTGGAGCCCATCTTCGTCTCAACTCTTTGGGCTCGGAGTCTCGCGGAAAGAGACCGGGTTTCAAGCACTCAGCAAAGCTTCGCGAATGCTTTTTCCTCGGGACCCGAATGAAAGGGGTGTTCTTTTCAGTTTTCTACGCCGAGAGCGGGGGTGTCTTCAGGGGATGGCCAAGTTGCCAGGGGTGTCAAGCAAGTTCTCGTGTGTTTTTCTGGCGTCCTTCCAGCGCCAGGAATTAACACCTGGGCCAACAGCGTCGACACAGTTTCTCGGCGGGCAGACCCTGGGAGGAGTTGGCAGGAGAAATGCCACCGCTGCCTTTCGCTTTGGGTTAATGGTGACCCCATATTAAATCAACCGCAGGTTATCAATAGGGCCATCCAAAAGTGATCTGATTCCCCACACCCAGGGACACCCCCTTATGAATCAACTGGGGTTGATTGATATGGGGTCAACGTTTGGCCTCTGGGATGCCCTTTGTCCTTCTCAGAGGGGTCCTTTCAACATGGCGACCGCTGTATCCTTCCGACACACGAGGCAATGAGTCAGTGACATACTTATGCTTTGATTGTAGCGCGTGTGAGACAAACCGTCGTCAAGATCATAAGCGCACCCGAACTGCTGAAAATATAATATGGCTTTTGTTTGCTGGTTTATATAGGCGCTGCTTTAGTCCCCCCACACTACAGGTGTGTGTGTGTGTGTGGTTGGTGTGTGTGTGTGTGTTTTTTGTGCTCCACGCAGGCCCCAGACTGCAAGGAGCCCCTCGTCTCCCAGGAAAGCAGCTCAAGCCAAAGTCAAGCAGGCAACGATGCGATGATTCATTGGAGCCACAACCGAAACCTGGGTAGATGAAGGACGAAGCATAAATAGGCACGCTGCCTTTCTGATACAGCCTTGGTATGTGCGCAACATTTGTGCGTGTCTTTGCACATGTGCACATATGTATGGGAACACACGCGCGCACACACACACACACATATATATATATACACGGACAATATTCCGTGAACATCCCGAAATGCCGACAATCGAAATGGGTATGGGTCAAAATGAAACCACCAGAGGACCGCAGGTTTCAGTCTTTTTTTCCATTTGCCAGGGTTCCATTTTGGGTACCTATTTTTGACGCACAACCAAATGGGAAACGTTTCCACCGAGGAGGCCACGGAGAAAGGCGCGGAGTGCGCCTGGACGCAGCTGCTAGAAGTTGCCCCGGGCGAGGCTTTCGCAGTGCCGTGTGAGGCGCGCCCCGGGAAAGCTGCGCCGGACCCAGTCTTTCGGACTGCGCCAATTGAACTCACTCTTGGTGGCTCCCAGCCACCCCCTTAGCTATTTAGCCTTTTAGTGGTTAGTGGTAGACTTTTAGGGGACCTGAGGGCAGCTCAGCACTTCCTGAGTTCCTGGACTTTAAACTTTCGGGAAGACCGTTTTAGCTGCAAACAAAAAGTTTGGACTTTTGTTGGCCAATCCACTCAGGACGCGAGGGAAGCGAGCCGGCCAGTTCAGGGTTAAACTAGATTACCATGAAGGTCACTTCGGGATTCCTCAAGTGAGGTAGGTGAATTATGGAATTAATCCCGGTGATATACGTAACAAACATGTTGCTTCTCCAACTCCGAACTTTTGGAGTGACCTGGAAAGAGTAGGGCGTGGGCCTTGTTTTAATTAAGTAGCCACGAACAGTGAGCATTGCGCTGATGCCAAGGGATTGCAAAGATTACTCGAACATTTTCTTTATTAAAACAAAAAGAGAAAACATTCGGTCTCACTCGCAGAAGGGCCCTCTAAACCGAGCAAGACCTTCAAAGACTTGTTGGAAGCACTGTTTCTTATGCCCTTTGATATGGAGTCGTCTTGTTTTACTTGATTTTCCGCCATGGGAAAGGCCAAAACCAAAGCTGCGGGCAATTTGGGAACACCCATATTGTTATCAAGCCGATTGTGGCAACACATAATGTCCAACGTGTAAAGAAGACACACCTATATCCTTAACTGCTGAGAGCTTGCAACCAGAGAACCACAGCGCCATTTCTTCTAAAGTTTCGGATTTGTGGTACTTGTTTCCGAGCAAAACATGGTTATCAGTTATCAGTCATATCAACCCCCCAAAGGCAACAAGAGGGATCTGTTTGATTCCAAGTAAAAGGTTGGTAAAGTGGATCGGGGGTGAATTAGACCCCAAGCCACTGAGTCATGGAAAATTAGGGTTTTGCTGAATCAGAGAATGTGGGAATGACCCGAGAAAAACCATCCCCAGAGGTGGTTTCCACCTTGTGGTTTCCTTTAAGGAAAGGGAGTCTCCAGTTCCCACATTCCCTACCTATCGCATCAGCAAGGAAAGAAGAATCTGAATGCCCCGTTGCAAAACGTTTTGGTAGCAAAGCATTGCAGAGACAAACATCCCGCAGGCAACCAATTCGGGAACACCGCCTTCAAACTCAGGTTCCTGGAGGTTTGTTGATCCTGGAAACGTCCAGCGGGAAATACTCAACTGGCTTCCCAGGACCATGAGGTCGCAGATCTGGGTAACTGGAAAGCAAATAGAATGAAGGTCGCGGGGGGCAAACAAATATTGTAACAGCTGCTCATTCTTTGTGACAGGCTCCATATTCCAACTACGCTTATTCGTAACCCGGTGGGGGGGGGGTGAGTTTTTTTTACAACTCTGGACGAAAACCATGGAGCCTCTGAAGCCGAGAATGCCAGCCTGCCACACGTCCAGGCGCGGCACGTGCTTCGGGTGGGGCCCTCAGGGCCCTCCGGCCCCGTGGGCCCCGACCTGGGCCCAAGCTGCAAGTGGCGCCATGGTGCCATCAGCGGCGGCGCCATCTACGCCATGCCCTGGCAGGCGGGACAGGGCCACTTGGGCATCCGCAACCGATGTCTAGCGGCGACTTTTTGCTTGGCGGCTCTACCTCGCTTGGTTGTTCTACTAGTTGATTGAATTGTGGTCATAGTAAAGCCTTTATAAGCCTTTCTGACCAGGTGGAATCAATAGTCAATGGGTTTCTCACTTGTTCCACACATGTGTTCATTATGCTCATCCTTTTCCAATATGTTCTACCTTTTTTGGGGGTTTTTGTGCACCTCCAAAAGTCCCTTGTTCGATGCCGAACAGCGGATGCGGGAGGTGCTGATGATCTGGTGTGACTACTGCGAGCGTCACATGTCTATCCTTTTCCTTGATGTTCCATGGATGGGCTGTGTTAAGACATTGCATTTGGCCCGTGTGCTTCCACGTGTCCGCAAGAATGTATATGGACACAGAAGAAGAGCAATCACAGGGAAAGTGGGATGAGTTGGAACATTGCAACAGAAGATGATTCACTCCTGCCCCTAGCGAGTTGAACCAAACACGGCCAGACATTGAGGAATTGGAGCTGCCAGAGAATACCGGCATGATGCCTGCCCTAAGCATTGTGCTTTGCCCCAAAGTTCCTGGTGCGAAAGCAAATGAGCATGAAACTGGGCAGGTGCCTTTTTGTTACAGGAGTTTATGAGTTTTCCCCTGCTTCAGGGCGTGTGGCTTCACACGAGCCAAGCATCTTTCAGGTTTTTTGAGAACCCTTTGCGTTTCAAAGGGATTGTCACGCCGGGCAGTTGGCCCCTGGCCCAGGCAGGCAGCGTGCTGAGCGTGGATGCGATGGGGAAGGTGACCACTTTGGGAAACTTGCCGCAGACGGAGGAGGGGAAGTTCGGCCGCTTGGCGGATAGCGGGCGAATTGGTCTTGCAAACTTTTGGAGGTTCCCGCATGTTTTGGTGTTTTGTTTTACAAACATCCAAAAACAGATTTGCTCTTTCCAAAATACGTCCAAGAATCAGCAGAGATTGAAGCAGCGAGGGGGAAGCCTTCAGATTTGGATTGGTGCGCACTGGGGATTTCACCCCTTGCTTCTTGTTGAGATGGGGCAAATCGACGCGCGGCTGGCCCTGGGAGCAATAACAAAAGCTATGCGCTGTCAAGAGTTAGAAAAACAAATGCCTGGAAATCGCATCTATCCCCACGCTGACAATGCCCAAGCGTCCCCAATTGTCGCCTGTTTGTCAAACCCCACATGGATTTGGTAATTGCCTTGGGCTCACCCACACGCTCCACATGCGCGCAGCATCCCTCCCAAATTTTGCCATCCGCAAAGCTGAGCTTGGGCAGCATGACCAGGTCAGTCATGGCCAGGCTTACGAAGCACGAATGAAACGCCTCTGCGGGACAAATTATTATAGCATCTTATAGCTAAATGCTTGACGTGATGCAACTGCTTCGGCGCCAACCTGTGGAAGCCACATGTGTCGAAAATGAAACCCCGCGCTTTTTCCTTATGTAAGGGCCTGTCCCTTGGCTTGCTTTGCAGGCCCAGAGCCAAGGCCAACTGGCATACTTCTCGGGACCATCAGAATGGCAGACAAAACGTGTATTTGTTTTGTTGGGCCAACCACTTAGGAAGTAAGAAGCCCTTAAGGGCAAACCTCCTCTCGCTGGTTAGGCTTCACCATCGCCAGCGGGCGCCACGTGTGCGGCATCCCCTGGGCCGCCACACAGGTGCTGTGTGTGGACAAGGCCAGGGTCTGAATCTGGGTTCTTTGTGTGGGTTTGGGCCTGTCGGTTTAGAGGAGCGCCAAAGGGAACCAGCCCTATTTTGACATACCCATGTTTGGCGTTTTGGTAGTTTCAAAGCATAATCAGAGGTCAGAGTTAGGTCTGAAGCGTAGTTTTAACAATCAAGTGTTGGCTGCTTGCCCTAGACCCCTTTAAGGGGAATCAGGTTTTTTTGCCCGGTCAAACCAAATGCGGGGGAACATGGTTGTGGGACATTTGCTTACGTAGTGCCGTAGGATCATAATCCTTGTTGAAATTACGGATTCGTCGTTCTTTCTCCCTATTTCACAAAAGTGGCTACCAGCAAGTCCGGGAGGCAACGCCAGGGAGCTTTGGATTTGGCATTCGTGGGATCCCACTAGTCTATACAGAGGAGTAGCGAACATCAAACGGCCCTAAATAGGGCATGCCAGTTGTTTGGAGCTTGTGTTGCGTGTTATGTCTATTTGTTTGTTGGATGCCCAGGCAGGGTTTCCGTGTTCTGTGTTTCTTGCTTTGTGGTTTGGAGGGGCAGACTTTGCAGTGGACGTTTGCCTTACCAACATTAGGACGCAAAAGGGCCGCCTAGTTATTTTGTTCGCCCCAAATAAACAAGTAACCAATCTCAAGGTCAACCCCCCCTCACTGAGCCCTCGCCTTCGTTCCCTTTGTGGTTGTCGGATTGGTTCTCCACTCCGTTCTGAGCGCTTTCCCGAGGTCTCAAAGTGGGGGACCCTCAAAAAAGGTTGTACCCAAAATGTTCAAAAAGGGTTCCGAGCCACGAACACATCCAAGTGGGAAACCACCCCCGGAACAGCAAACCACCAAACTAAACCACCAACTAAGGGAAGCTGATCACTTCAAACCGCCAACAAGGGTAGCCGCAAGAAACACGCAAACCTTTTCAACAATAAACCAAGAAAACAAAGCCATAAAACAACTATAAACCGGACCAAGCTCATCCCTTTATATAAACCAACCAACCATTATGTAAATTGAAGCCTAGCCAGACCCTCGCCGCAGTCTTCGAATCGAACTCGCAGGAGGGCCAACTTTGGCGCTTCGGGTCCTTCAGCCCGATGCCGGGCAAGTGGCGCTTCGCTTCGGAGTTCCGGGGGCGAATCTTCGCAGTGCCGGTGGAGGCCGACTCGGTGCTGGAGATCGACTCTCGGATCAGATGCACATGGGAAGGCGTCAAACAAAGCCTTGGTGGTTTGGAGCCTGGTGGTTCGGATTGGAGGAGTTGGATTTGAAGCCCTGGTTGTGATTTACAAACCAATTTTAACCAACCAGGGAAGTTGAAAAAAGATACAAACTGGTCCCCCGAGACCCGGGTTTGACGTTTGAGGGAGCATTGCTTTTTCGGCCCGGTTGTTGGGGGGGTTGTGGATTGGGGGGGGGATGTTGCTGTTGCTTCCGAACAGTGCAGTCACACTTCAACTCCATGTTAATGCTGGGCAGTTTGGCTCAGTATGCATTTCACTAGTTAAACAGAGCTGCTTGCTTTGCCTGCGCTTGGGTGGCTTGCATTATTTTCATGTGCTTCTGTACCCTTCTCAACAATCCAGATCTAAATGACGGACTTCCAAGAGGGCTAGAATCCTTTGCGGATCTTTGTTTTGGCTGGGGGGGGGGGAAGGTGATTGCACACCTTGAGAACGTGGGACGGGACCTGTGTCGTTTGCGTTTGTTTAGAATCTTAACATCGGCATCCACAAAATAAAGCCCATGCTGAACTCCTACCCGTGCTCTCGGGATCACGCTGCCCTCGCACCGAGCGAGCCGCGTACCTTGCGTAAAAAGTCTTGGAATTTGCAAGACATAAAACCCAAAGGGGTAAGACAGGCTTTTAATTATGGAAGACAACCTTCCTTTTGAGCAGGCCTTTGTCAGCTTCTAGCGTAGTGGGAACAGTTTTTCCCTGCCAAAGACACGATCCCAAAAGGGGGGGGAGTCTTTTGATTTTTTCCCCGTGCTTGTTCAAGTTTGATGTTGATTTATGGGATGTGAAGGCCGAAGGGGCATGCCAGCCTCTCTTCAGCTTTCAAATTCCACCGGCTCCATGTCACTGAAAAACTAAGGAAGCCAGCCCTAGGGAAATGATATGAGTACACAGGAGTACACATTTCTACAATAGCACATATGCGCATCTAGTCTGCATGTTTTGCTAAACACGAAGTCACTGAAGTATGCGTTATTTGTATAAGGGTTTCACGTGAATCAGACGGGAGTGTATATGTCTACCTTTCTTGATGGAACAAAACATCTCGCCATGAGTCAGGGATTTTTGTTTTGGAAAGACACCACCCAACATTCAACACATACAGACAGGCAGAGGCCGCAGGCAGACAGTCAGACAGACAGGCGGGCAGGCGGGCAAGCAGACATACAGAGATACCGACCAGCCATACAGACCTACAGACATGCAGACATGCAGACAGACATACACACACACATACAGACATACGGAGAGACACACGGACGCAGACACACAGACACACAGACACACAGACACACAAGACATACAGACATACAGGTGCCATGCACGAATGCATTTGCATGTTTGCTTTGTTCTTAGACATGTGACAGCAACCGGTTGGCTTTGTGAATCAGTGTCAGCATCCGTCAGAATCGTGCGTGCGGATGCCTTGCACGTTGCACTTTGCATAGACCAGAGAGTAAGGGTTCATGCTCATCAGGCGCATATATGCTCATGTCGCCTGACAACGTCCGTTTGTTTTTTTTCTTGGAGGGGCGATCATGTTTGCGGTATTGACAAGAGTGTTTGTTGCAAGGCCATTTGATATACACATTGGCATTTGAACCAATTTGCCAAATACGTCGTGAAATTCTGCTTGAGTCGAGCCACGACTGGCAAACGCCAATAGGACTATGCCCACCTGCCACCCCTCAAGTGCAGGTTCTGTGTTCGAGAGCCGGCCTTGCTGCCCATGCGTCAATACGTCAGTGTGCAGACAATCTCAACCTGCAACTTACTGGCTTGTGCATATGGCCCTTCTTCAGGATGCTGAAGCACATTCGGCCCGAGAACTGGGGAAGTTCGAGACAGGAGCAGCGTCAATCGGGTGGGACAGTAGGACCCCCACCCCCCCCCCCTAAAGAGCCCATTCTAAGAAGTGTCTGAAAGATATTGCAAAGCCATTTGTGGACTGGAAAGGATTTTGCATTACATTCCGGGACTACGGCCCCCAGTTGGAAGTTACCCCACTTGGTTTGTAAAAAAACTCCCGAGGGCTTAATCCCAGGTAGTATATTCCTTTGGCAGGCACAAGTTACTTACTGAGTTGTTTTGTTGGAGAGCGGACGAATGCATCAGGCAGGCAGTGCTGGCAATCGTCCTTAGTTTGTGGTTGAGATACGTGTTCTGAATACTTGATCCTGTGGCTCTGGTGGGTAAATGGGCACGCGACAGGCCCATGCGTTTCGCGTTTAGGTGGCAGAATCGCCACGAAGAGCTGGTATGCAGAGCCGATTGCCGGTTGGCTTCATCAAAAATCAAAACTGAGGCAAGACCCACTGTTCCAAGTAAATGCTCTTTCGGACAACAGCCAATTACTCAACCACACTAAAGGTCAAGAAACAGTTGAGAACCTGAGATTTAGAGGTGCCCAGTCAGTCGGAACGGGGGCTTCAATCCCAAAAGCTACTGGACTACAGGTACCACAGGTGGCACATACCCTTGGCTGCAATGGATGACGGCAGTTCCTTGTATTGGAAACTTTGGTCAGTTTGAGAGCTGAGTGTTTGCTAATTTGGGTTGGAGGTGGGCAGCGCATGTCAATTGGGAGGGGGTTCTCTGCTTGAGATGCCCAGATGCACCCAGGGCGTTCGCGCATTCTGCACCTCTTTGAAATCGGAATTGGGGCAGAGGTGGCCCTGACTTTATTTTTGACTAAAGGAAGCCGCAAGTCGCAAGGGGAAGGCTCTTTTACTCTTTCCAGACCCCTTTTTGCCTTTCAACATGTGTGTATGTGTTTGCACGTGGGTTTTGGAGCAAGCTCGCGCAAAACGGCCCAAGCGTCATATGGTTTGCAACGCTGCGTGGTTTCCCCCGCGCCAGGATCTTACAGGCCGCCTGCCTGAAGATTGGTCAGGATTTCTTCATGGTTGCTCCAAGCCGTTCCCAACAGACCCAAGGCCAAGAAGTCCGTTGGGGAGACATGCTGTATGCTTCCGTCCCTGTTGTTTTCCTTCAGGGGCCAAAAATCCTGGCCTTGTGCCATGTGCTAGGGTCAATGTTGAAGGTGATGCAACATGAAGAGAGAGAGAGAGAGAGAGAAAAATCAAAGTAAATGAAACATTGATCATCGACATCTTGCAAATCATGCTGTGTCTTGACATCTGCCTCTCTTTCCAACCTACCGTATTTTCTGGGCCTGCGGCCTCTAGCCGGCTACGCCTCTTTGAAGTTATACCATGTCATGTCATGTTTTTTGTATGAGAAACGTATCCTGTGCTATGATATGGCTGGTTAGGTTATGCATGTTGCCCACCCCAACCCCAGATGATGCCGGGGATGCCAGCTTTCTGGGCCCTAGCCGGGACCCAAACCAGAAGGCTGACATGGGGTCGCGCGCGCGCGCCAGAGGCCGCAGAAACAGCAGCCCAAAAAGAACAGCCCGCAAGCCAGCCCGGAAACGCAAAAGCAACAAAACACCGTAAATAGCAGCGTTTTGTGGCTAGGGTCGCGCGCGCCAGGAGGCCCGAAAACCAACGCAAAAAAAGGCAAGGACCGCGCAGCACGCGAGCCAGCCACGGCAAAAGCAAAACGGACAGAACAACAGCCCACCGCTCAGCACAGCAGTTTTCGACGGTATTTACAGCGTTTTGTAGAGCGAGGACCCAGCATCGCCGGCATGCCCGGCAGCGCTTGGCGCCAAAATGCGCGAAAATGAGCCTCGCTTATATCCCTCCAATACCTTCTGAAAAACAGTGCTTTTTGGGTTGAGAGGCTTTTTGGAAGGAAGTCTTGATGATGCAGACCAAGCCCCGCTGAAGCATCACCCAGGCCCAACCCCAGACCCTGATGATGTCAGCCGCATGGCCTAAACCCTGCATATACGCGATGTTTTGCGAGGGTTTCCCACAGGCAAGCAAAACCGCAAGCCCGAGCTGGCGATGCAGAGGTGCCGGATTTAGGCCACGCATCACGCCCAAGTGACGAGGGTCGGCGGCACCAGGGTGCAGCCCCTATAGCTAAAGCTAGCAGGCTGACTGCCTAGCGGCGACATGCTACCCCAGGAGGCGTAGCCGGATAGCCGGATTTAGCAGGCTGACGCCTGATGCCGCCGACCCCCGTAACATCATCATCATCATTAGCATCAGCATCATGATCATCATCGTCATCACTGTCATCATCATCCTCAGCATCAGCATCAGCATCCTCATCATCCATCATCAGAACAACATCACCATCGGCATCATTATCCTCATCATCCTCATCATCATCATCATCATCATCATCCACCATCTCATTTTCATTAATTAGCATCAGCATCATGATCCTCATCATCATCGTCCGCGGCGTCAGCAGTATCCTCAGCATCCATCATGACAATGATCACCGGCATCATCATCATCATCGGCAGCAGCATGATCATCAGTCTCATCAGCATCATCATCATCATCATCATCATTCTTCATGAGCAGCCTCAGCATCAAACATCATCATTATCGTCTTCGGCATCATGACGGTCAGAGGTTAAGGTCAGGGTTAGAGGTTAGAGGTTAGGGTTAAAGGTCAGGGTTCGAGGTTATGGTTGCATGATGATGAGGATGACGATGACGATGATGATGATGCTGGACGATGAGGCGAGGATGATGATGACACTGAGGCTGAGGATGATGATGATAATGAGGATGATGATGCATCATCCTCATTCATCAGCATCAGCAGCATCATCGTCATCATCCTCATCATCATTATCATCAGCGACGCCATCATCATCCTTGTCATCCAGCATCATCATCATCCTCATCATCGGCATCAGCATCCTCAGCATCATTCTTCAGCATCATGACCGTCATCGCCATCATCATCATCCCCAGCATCATCCTCATCATTGTGCAGGTGCCTGGGGCGATGCTTTGCATGCTGGGGATGCGGGGGCTGCCTTTTTGGTCTTCCATAGTTGTAGAAAGACGCAGCTTTTGCATCCCCAGCTTCACCAGCATTCTCCTGCAGTTGCCCGGGGTGGTGCTTTGCATGCCGGGGATGTGGGAGCTGTCTTTTTAACCTTCAAAAATGGAAAAACATCCCCCGTTTCACCAGCATCATCCTGCAGGTGCCCGGGGTAATGCTTTGCATGTTGGGGATGCAAGAGCTGCTTTTTTGGTCTTCGAATGTCGGGAAAAAAGGCAGCTTTTGCATCCCCCGCTTCACCTGCATCATCCTGCAGGTGTCTGGGGTGATGCTTTGCATGCTGGGGATGCGGGAGCTGCCTTTTTGGTCTGGGAAAGTTGTGAAAAAAGGCAGCTTTCGCATCCCCAGCTTCGCCGGCGTCATGCTGCGGTGATGCTTTGCCTGCTGAGAATGCTGGAGCTCCTGCCATCATCCATATCATCAGCCTCCTCATCATCATCCTCATCCTCATCATCCAACATCATCATCATCATCATCATCATCATCATCATCATTACCCTCATCATCAGCATCATTCATCAGCATAATCATCATCGTCATCATCATCGTCAAGTCATCATCACCATCATCATCAGCATCATCATCATCATCATCATCATCAGCGTCGTCATCACGCTCTAACCCCAACCTCTACACCCCTGACCCTACCCCAACCTTTAACCCTCACGTCTAACCCTAACCTCTAACCTTAACCTCTCACCCTCACCTCCAACCCTGACCTCTAACCCTAACCTTGAACCCCTAACCTCTGACCCTCGCCGCTAACTCTCGCCCGTAATCTTCCGTCATCTTCCCGTGGTCTTCCGTCATTTTCCCGTCATCTTCCCGTAGTCTTCCGTCATCTTCCCGTAGTCTCCGCCATCTTCGTGTAGTCTTCCGTCATCTTCCCGCAGTCTTCCGTCATCTTCCCGTGGTCTTCCGTCCTTCCCGTAGTCTTCCGTCATCTTCTTGTAGTCTTTCGTCATCTTCCCGTAGTCTTCTGTCAGCTTCCCATCATCTTCCCGTAGTCTTCCGTCATCTTCGTGTAGTCTTCCGTCATCTTCCCGTAGTCTTCCGTCATCTTCCCGCGCTCTTCCGTCACCTTCCCGTCACAGCTTCCCGTAGTCTTTCGTCATCTTCCCGTGGTCTTCCGTCAGCTTCCCATAGTCTTCCGTCATCTTAGTCTTTCATCATCAGCATCCATCCTCACGGTTAGAGGTTAAGGTTAGAGGTTGGGGTTAGAGGTTAGGGTTAGAGGGTTAGAGGTCAGGCGTGTCAAAATTCCGCCGCGGGACCCCCCTCCCCCCTCAGACTCCCCCTAACCACTACTTAGAACATGCCTCGCCCCTTTGCAGAGACTAACTTGGCGTTTGCAAAGGGGTCGGCGGATTCATCATCATGTTAAAGGTGTCTGACGTTGGTGATAATAGGTGACAAGGAATCAAGACATTAGCAAACAACTAAACAGCTAAATAGTTGGCAAGCCTCTGGATTCAAGCTGTGATAAAGAACGAACCATTATATTATATAGGATGTGTACTTTCCTTGTTCATCACTTACATCACCGTATGCCTCATCCAATGCAATTATTGTACCTTCGAAATTTGCATCAAATTAACATGGTGTTATTCGTATCACATTTTATTTTCTTGACTGTCTAGCTCCAACACGCATCTACAAGCGGTTGCTTGTCGTTTAATTAATTCTCAACCTTATGAAAGCGAGGCTGTCATTCGAATGTTGGTGAGTAATCCTCAAATCCCAGATTCTTACTTTGTGTTCAGTAGGATTTTGTTTCTTGTCTACTTTTCTTGTGAACGAATCTTTTCTTATCACGTTAATTCTCTTCCATTTCCGTTCGTTCGTCCCTGTCCACCTCTCTGTTCTGTCAGTGAAGCTGCACAATGTGAGCCAGACCAGACACAGAGGTACAACCCATTGCGGCAAAAGCAATGCAGCGGATTTCCCGAAGCGGGATCCCCTTAGAGTTGACACTGTGGTCAATGCAACGGGCCTTTGGAGAAACTGTTCACCTTCCAGCCAGGAAGGCAGTGTTAAAGCGACGGCTGGGCAACTTCAGGCCAACACCAGGATTAACGATTCCGCTGTTGTTCCCAAAGGGCAGCATTTTGGAACCTTGAAGTTGGCAACCTCTACTCTTACGACGCTGGCAAGAAGCCATGTCAACTTGCTAGCAAGTATTGTGTTCCACATGGGTGGGATGGTTTTTTTTCGGGCTCATTCCGTTTGCCTATCGAACCAGCAAGAAAATCAGATGGCATTGTTCCCCCTTACGGGTTCTTTGCGACATGCGAACGGCCGCTTGAGGCCCATCCTTCTGCCGCGCTGGGCTGGGGGTCTGTCCTCTGGCCAAAGGCTGCTCGGCCTGCCAGGCTTCGATTGCTCGCTGCTGCAGGCTCGGAGGGTCGGATTTTTCGAGCAGATCCCGGTGTTCCAGCTCTCCCATGGCACCTGACAGGGGGTGTCTTCAAGAGAAAATCAATCTTCCAAACACCCTGGCACAGGTGCCATGTTGGGAGGAAGGGCAAATTTCGCCCTTTGGTGTTCTCAAATCAAACATCACTTTCTAGGCCATGTTTAAGCGAGTGGACACCAGGGGAAACTTTTGAAGAGATGCACGCAGATTCTGACTTTGAATTGACTGCAAAACCAGCTCAAACCACTGCAGCTTGTTTTGGGGCTTTATGCAGTGATTCATGTTCCCGGCTCCCTATGCCAACGGCCTACTGTTTGACCAACTGTCAGCTTCGGGCTGGCAGGGCCTTTTGACACCCGGGCATCAAAACGGTGGGTACTTGGCGCTTTCGCACATCTTCTGACTCACAGGTTGCGTGCTTGCACATGGGCGGTGGGGGGGAGCGGCACACTGCCAGGTGGACATGGGCAGTGCCGCAGTGCAGACGCACGCGTTGGGATGTGAAGGCCCGGTTGTTGCAAGAAGCGGCCTTGCACAGAAGCTTTTGACACAGTGGATGATAGTGGACCATGAGGCAGGCGTATTAGTTCACATGCTGTCATACAAGCAGCGCGTGTCCCCTATTCTGTTGAACAACGGCTGGCGCTTTGCGTGCTGAGGTCTGGGCACATGAGCGGGGGGTGAGATTGTCCATTGCGCAGATGTGTAGCAAGGAAATCACTGTGATGCTGGGCAAAGTTGGACAAGCAAGCCATCACAGAGCCCATCTCCTCCGCCACTTTCCAACTGTGAGTCTAGGGTGACTCAGTCAGCGTTTCACGGAAGACAAGGCCTAATGGAGCAGAATTGGTGCCGAACAATGCCAACCACTCACGCACACGCAACAAAGCCCTGCGAGCTGCCAACCCTTCTTGGGCTAGAAACGTCAAACTTCTGGGACCCTGCCTAATGGATGCACTCACTTCCCAAATTCCTGGACTTTATACTTTTCGCGGAAGACCAAGTTACTTGCAAATTGAAAAAATGAACTTTTTTTGGCCCATCCACTCAGGAGTGAGCACAATTTGTCGAAGATCCTTGAAAGGGCGGAACAGAAACCCAATTTGGCGGACTGGGCACATGCAAGATCACTTTTGGTGGTACTTCAAGAAGGCGTTCCCAGAGGTCATCCGGATCCCCTTTGGAACGGCGCCCCCGTCCCCCCCTTACCTGCCCCCCGGCTGTATCCACCAGGAGTTTCTTTATCCGGTGTCAAGTTTCTTTGCTTAGTTCTTTTCGGTTTCCCGTGTTGGGGGTCTCCAAAGCCTCTCTCACCGGCCTCGGAGTCGCGGTGTCGAGGTCCGAGTCGTGGTCCGAGGTGCGGTGCACAACTGGCACTCCGCCGTGGTGGCCAAAAACGGCGCCATCTACGCGCTGCCCTTCAGTGGCACCACGGTGCTCAAGATTCAGCTCGGGCAGATCCAGGCGGACCGGGTGCCAACGACCAGCTCCAAAATGTTGCTTTTGAAGCTTCAAATGGCCAATTCTCTACATTTGAGCTAAAATGTGTCATTTTATATAAACTCAAATAAAGAACGGCCACTTCCAGGACTGGCTTCAAAACGATGCTTTTGTTTCCCCGCAGAAGGGTACCCTCAATAATTGAGAAGGGGTGCCCATTCAAAGCTGTCAGCCGCATAAGTTCATAAGGGGTCACTGGGCAACTGGGACGTTCATTTCATTGATGCTGGGACATTGCGGGAGGCTGGCTTTATGGGTGCCACTGGAAGCGAGGCACGACTAATCTAAATCATGCACAACCGAACGGGCAACTGGTCGCTTGCAAAATTAGGCTGTTCCAGTTGACACCAGAACTGCAGACAGGCAGCAACAAGCCAACTCTCCTTACCAAACGGAGCAAAGCCTATTTGCCAGCGGTCCCTGCAGGGTTCCCTACGTATCGTCCTTTTATGTCCTTTCCTTTCAAGTTGCATTCTGTGTTTGACTTGCTTTGCGAATTCTAACGGAGTTGTCCCTTGGCGAAGTGATTGTCTAAACGCAAGACAGTTATATTATATATATATATGTCTATGTACATGTTTGTTTATACACGCTTGTACACACATACACACACACATATATCTATATATGTATATATATTCACACATGCGCAGAGTTATGGGTCCAGTATTTCATGTTATTCTTCCATTCGCCCATGCATTCATTCGGCCGTTTGGTCAGTCAGTCGGCAATTCATTCAGCCGTTCAGTCGTTTAGTCCGTCCGGCAGCCAGCCAGTCAGGCAGTGAGTCAGTCATGCTTTCAGTCATTCATTCAACTATTTGGTCCTTCAGTTCAGTAAAACAGTCATTAGGCCATTCAGCCATTCAGTTACTCAGAGATTCAGCCATTCAGCCATCCAGCAATGTCGATGATTCATCGCTGAACGAATATGTTATTTGTTTATGTCCATGATTTACGCCTAGGGCTCAACACAGTCCTGTTGATCGACTCACCCCTATCGCTGGGAAGGCTTGTCGGGTCCAACCTTGAAAAGACACAACTGATCCCTGGACTCCGTCCCTCGTGGGCATCAACTCTAGTGAGGTAGGTGTGTTCTTCTAAGTCAAGCGAGTTGTGGTCCGCAGGGTCGGTTTTGATACATTTGGGATATTGACTTTTAGGGTTTAGCTTGGTGCCGCAAAAACCAAGTGTCTCTGGCGCCTCTCAGAGGGCAGCTTGGGACAAGGGTTGCTAAAAGAATACAGAATTGACATGTCCATATTGAGATATTCAGATTTACCAGCTGATTTGAAGGATCGAACAAAATCTTGTGAGCTAGTCGGACGTTGGTACCTATCTTTTGGGAACTGCTGCCATTCGAAAATGGGATTCTAAGGCCTCTGTGATTTGCCAAGGGGATTTCCATTGAAGTTTCTCAGCAAGTTCGGGCCGCAAACATTGCAATCACCAACAAACCAATACTCAACACCAAAATGGCAATCACCTCAAAAGCATGACAAATTCCGGCAAATCCGAGGGTTTCAGCTCTTGATCCGCGCAAATGTGTGGGGCGGCCGGCTGGGCCGTCTCTCGCAGAGGTGCAGCAGCTGGGCCGAGAGCTCTCCGGCGGTTGGAGCCATGCGCTGCTGAGCCGCGCAGGCGAGGTCTACGGGGTGCCCTTCAGCGCCCAGAAGGCGAGCCCTGCGCGGCGGTTCAGCCGTCCGGGCTTTTGGGTTTTGAGTTTGTGTGGGGGAGATCCATTGAACCCACGAGTTAAACGTCCAGCGAGATCTTGTTTTCCGCACGGGAATTTGGGGACAGATGTGGTCTGGACCGCGTGTGTTGATCCAAGCTGGTCCCTTGAATCAGCAAGCTGTGGGAACCCCCCATGGAGCTGGCCATAGTTTATTTTGTGTTTTGTTCCGAACCTGACTGTCTCGATAGGCAGGGAAATAGCAATGTGACTTTTGGCTGGCAATCGCTTTGTGCAAACGACACTGCGGCCTACAGGAACCAGCCTTCTTTGACCTGTGTGCAGAATACCCCCAAAAAAGCAAACAACCAAACCTCCTCGGGAAACCTACATGCGCATGCTTAAACAGTGGCCACATGTTAGCCCTGCCAACATGTAACTCACAAGGGGATGTGATTCCATGTTCAGCTACCATGGAAGCGGGCCCAATCCTGCCTTGAAAAACTTACCTCTGTGACTCTGTGAGGTGCTCAAGGTGAGCAGCACGGATGAGGCGCGGAAAGGCGACTGATTTGGGGATTTGGACCCCAAGATGTTCACCAAGGCCCTGCCTAGGCCCTGAGTTCAGTCCAGTGATGTCAGGAATGATTTGCTGCCACCATCTGCCACCGGCTGCGAGGGTCGTTTAATGGAGTACTTGGGGCCTTTGGCAGGGGGCAGCGTCAAACCCGGCACTTTGGGTCTCCGCATTTTACGAGTCGCTCAATCTGGACAAGCGTGTTGTTTTTCTTCTGCTTTTGTATGGGTGAGGTGCCTTCCTCGGCCATTTGCCAAAGTTCCTGGCTGGTGTTGACTCCACGCGTTCCCAGAGTTGCGCATTTTGGGGCTGAAGCAACCAGTGTGCCATGGACTAAAAAGGCAGGCCTAAAGATCCTTTTGAAAAGGACCAACCCTAGGCAAGTTCGTGTTGAGGCTGGGTCTCCTCCCTGCACCTCAGGTGTCCCAATTCGGCTCCTTCGAGCCGGGGGTCGCTCAATGGAAGCAGGCGTGGAATCCTGGGGTGCACTTTTGTGTCCCGCAGTATGCCTTGAAGTTCCTTAGGGCTTACTCCCTTTGGCTCTTGGTCATTTATTCCAGCATGTACTGGAGACTTTGCAATACGAGAACTCTTGCCGTGCCTGAGGTTGGCATGACCTGGCGTGTTCAACTTGGCTCATCCTCGGAAAAGGGGTTCGTTTTGAGGATATTGTTCGGGTGGTCTTTCCCCTAGCGATCCCCTCTCAAAGGTGACCCCGCCTAATGCCGACCCCAATTTAATAGAATCTTCGGGGGCAACTAGATTTTGACCATTGGGGTGTTCAAAGTCAGAAACTGGGGTTTGCTTGAAACCTACCATTTGGGGGGATGTCTTTGATACACGCTGACTAGTGGGGCGACCTTATGCATTCAAAGGCTGAACGTAAATTAGGTCCATGTATGACCCTGATATGAACCCCGAGTTCATGGGTTAGTTTATTGTTGGTTGTGGCTTAATTCCCCAAAGGGTCCCAAATGGCAATGGGTTGACCTTGACAATCAGCCGATTCATTTGGACCTCCAACCACTTCGGGGACGTGCCAGGGGGTTCTGGCGCTCAATGGCTTCATCTACTGCATCCCCGAGCGGGCACTCACAGTCCTGAGGCGCGGCCTTGCAAGCCCCGGCCCCAGAACCCAAGAAGACACGGGCAGACGCGTTTTTTGTTTGGGAAAGGTTGGCTTTCAACGCGGGAAAAAGAATCCGGTAGGTGTTGACTCACAGCCCAAGAAGCAGGGGTGTTTCTTTGAAGGCCATGCCTTGAAACCTGGAGATTTCCTTTCGGAAGAGCCTGCGGTTTGTCTTTCCACTGACGATTTGGGTCGTCAGATCTTGAGTCCGCGCGTGCTTTGCGCGCTTCAGAGCCGGCCGATCGTGCTTTCCTGATCCGACCAAGCGCCTGCGCTCCACCCGCCCCGCCTGTGCTCCCCACGCCAAACAAACCCCAGAGCTAGCTTGAGCATACCGCACCAAGCCCGTAGGGCTACGCCGAGATTCCCACACCACAACTGAGATTCCCACATTACCCCGCGCTAAGCCCAAGGCTCAAGGCTGGCCGGATCCGGCTGAGACCGAAGGCACAGGCGTAGAGACCGAGCCGCGCATGGCCATGATCCGACACTCGGTTGGCGACGCATGAGCGTCGCTGTTTGTCGGGGGCTTCTTTGTGGTGGTTTGCCTGGCAAGTCCTCATAGGTTCGTGGGTGAAGCCAGGGATGCTCCAGGGGTCAGGGCCGGGGTGAATTTTCTAGAAAGTCTTGAAGCGTGTCGACATCAACGTTACATACTAGCCCAGAAAGAAAAGAAAGGCAAACAGGTTCAGATTGGCACAAACATTAGCAGGAGCTAGGCGGACTTTTCTGGAAATGTTGGTGAATTGAAGTATCTTGACATGGAGCAGACAAAAGCATGATGATAGAGAAAGAGAGAGAGAGAGAGAGAGGGAGAGACGCCATCAGCATAAGCTGTCTTCGGTTATGAACATTCCAAGGTCGGCGAGAGGCAGACAGGAGTTACCATGTGAGTGGATGGGAGAGGTACGATGATGAAGGTAGCTCAAGACAACTTAACTCAGCCCCAGATGCAACCGTTATACTAGTGCTTGGGCACGTTCGCTGACTCCAGGCTAAGGTAAAGAGATGGAAATGACACAGATATGACTCACCTTCATCCATATCTTGCACTCGCTTCTTGGCTCACTTTTGCCTGTCAAGGAAGCACTCTAGAGGTGATTGACCGGCCAAGAGACTACTCACCTCCATCCTTTGTATGCCGCCAAATCACGACGAAGGCAATTGAACCAAAGCTCAAGCACAACCAACAATACCTGGCAGTCAGTACGCGGAACAGCTGCTGCGCAGGCCCCTCCGAGCAGTTTCCATGAACTACACCTCCAAAAGGGTTGCATGCTGCAAGGCCGTACGTCATACCTGCCATCGCAAGGTCACCTACAGCAGCCGCTGTAGCACCGGCGGTGAGAAGTATTGGTCAGTGCCTGTAGTGCACTCTTTGGAACTGGTGGTGTTTCTCAGGGCTCCTTAAAGATACATTTTGCACATTTGGAACATGGCTTCTTCCACCAAAACCCACCATTTACAAGGCAATGTTCAGGTGTATAATGTAAGGAACCCTGTTTCTTTTGTATGGAACTTTGGGTTTTGCGTTGCCAGGATCGACCCCTTCACCGACACCACGAGCCAGCTGCTAGTGGCGCCCAGCCGGCCGAGCGCCGCGTTGCCTGGGTGCAGCCCTCAGAACTCGGAGGTGTTGACTCACCTGTGAATTGAACACGGGTGTATATTTTTGAGGGACCCCCCCCCAAAGTGGTGGTGTTTCCTTTGGTTTTGTTTAAAACCCACGGAAAAGGGGGGGGAGTTAGGGGTTGTGGCCTCAAAACAAGACACACTCACATCATCTGGGATGTTGATTGCTCTTGGGTTGCCATGAAGAAAATGTGGGCACCCCGGTTCTCCGGGTGAAAAGCCCGGGAGCCGGTGGCCTGGTGGGTTTGCTTTTGTCACCCCCTCTGACATGAACTTTTGTTGGGCCATTTGACAGCTGAGAATTGGTATTGGTGACCCTTGCGGACCGCCTTTGAAAGGGGGGTTCAAAGGGCTCCCGAAAAGGTTCCCTTGTGTTCCCTTAAGGTCTGGGCAAGCAGGCTTCGGACCCGCGCACATGCCTGGTCGCTCAGGACGCCCACGTCGCAGACATCCACCACGACGGCGCGGGTCATGGCCTGTGTTGGTTGGGGTTTTCGTGGTGAAGTTGGATAATTTTCAACGGATTGCAATTTTAGCCGTATCTCAAAGTAGGGGAGCCCTCAAAATGGGTGATTTTCAAAATGTTTGTGTGTTCTTGCTTTCAATCATCCACCAAGGGTCCCCAAATCAAGACCCTGTCTTTGCGAAGGGTGAAATGGAAAACGGGTAGCTCCAGTTGCTTGCCCTCAGACTATGTGCTGTAACCCGCTGCTTCCAATCTTTCAATCCACCAAGTCCGAGAATGTGAGTTTTGCTGATGGAGGAGCTTTTGCCCACAACCTCATTATGCTCACGCCTTGCGTGTGGCATTGCATGTATCAACAGATTCGGGGCAGTCGGGCCTCTGGCAGACGTGCCAGGCACTTGCTCAGCGCGGATGTGGCCCCTTTTTGACTTTGTGGATGGATCCGCCGGCCACAGTTAGAATATGTTGAAATGATTGTCACTGGTCCAGGGCGGAACCCAAACCCATTTCCTCATGGTGACCATCGTGACACACAGCGCGCTGGGTTTTGGAGGATTCCAGTTTTCGGCAGAGGTGATGCTTCGGCAACTTTCCAAGGGCTTCAAAATACTTGGCCCGACACTTCGCGCCAAAGGCCACTTCCGCATCACCCTCAGAGGTTACAACCTTTCCTGGATGTTCCATGTCCATCTCACTTGCCCAAAGCCCACCTTTTCACCTTTTTGGTTTTCCCTTCTTGGCCCGTTTTTAGAGGTCCCAAAAGGTGAACCTTTCATTTCCAGGTCCTTTGGGCAAGTGAGCCATGTCCCAATCTTTTCCTGCACTCTCCGGTCGCGGAGGTGCAGATCATGTGCTTGGGTTTCCGGTGCCCGGCGTCCACGGTACTGCGCCCCACCGCGGCAATGCTGGTGTGCCGCGAGCAGCCCTGCGCCCCGGAGACTTGAGGGGGCCCCGGTGGTTTAAAGATGTCGGGTTTGGGTGTTTTGATTTTAAGGGAAAATGCTGGGTGTTTTTTGCCTTGAAACTTCAAACCAGGGAGGTTAACCTCAAAAAGGCAGGCCCGCCTCAATCTTCATAGTTGTTATGGGATAACTACCTGTTGGCTTCCCTTTCAAGGGGAGGGCCTGGCTGGCAGAGTCCATGCTTAGTGCGGTTGCCAAGCCCGTTACGTGAACACGTGGACAGGTTTTGTAGGAGGCGCTTTCGTGTTTTTCTTTTGCAGGTAGGCCGCAGCGATCCATGGGTCGCCTTGGGTTTGCACTCGTCGTTTGCGATTGTCTGCGCCAGTTTCCTTTAAGAGGGGTGGACAAGGAGCTCTGTCCAATGTCATCGTTTATCCTTTTGCTACCAGGCAACAGGGCCAGTGTTGTTGATTTCAGGATGTCTCATGATGTCTCCACATGTTCTGGGGTTCTGGTGTGCCAATTTTCAATATCCCAAGCGCCCAGATTCAGATGCATGCTGAAAGTATTCGTTGACGTCGAGAGGCTCTGTGGGACTATATTGGGCTGCCCTGGCTAACGTGCCAAGGTACCAGTATCAAGCTTCTTTGGTGGCTGTTCAGGAGTTTGAACAGGGCAAACCCCCGGCGACATGGCACAAGGCTGTCAAAGTGATTGATCTCAATCCTAAACCAGGATGGAAGCGTCCATGGAGCGAAAAGGGCTTGTTGTTTCACAGGCGGGAAGCTGAATGAAGGCATCACAGGAGTTGCGGGCCCACGAGGCTTGTAATTCTAGCACAAGGCTGAGCCTTGAAGGGGGCAATCAGGCCAAAGAACCCTCACCGAAGCCTTTTGCCCTTTGCCTTGTGGGGCCCGCAACCCCTTTGGGGCGGCGTCTTGTGGTTTGTTGGACTGCTTCATTTGCCTTCCAAAACCTGAGGTTTCGACACCTGTTGCCTCAGCAGCTGCGAGAATTTCCTATGCCCGCAGGGCTACTCCCCGAAACCCGGCGCGACGGATGCGAGCTGCTCCTCAGGAGACGGTGCTCGTTTGCGGGTTTTTGTTTTCATAGGCCCAGAGAACCATTTGCTTTTGCGCGGGCGAGTTTCCCTTGGGACATCCAAGTTCCCATTTGGGAATTAGACAAATGTGCCGGATTACTTCTCCGGGGTTTAGCGCTGTGAGCGCCTTCCACATGCATCGCTCATGAGTTGCTGTGGGTATTTGCAGACCCCAAAGAAACCCAGCTCCGAAACCATGGCGTGCTGAATGCAGCCGCGCGTCAGGATATTGCAGCAGCTTGGATTTGCTCACCTGCTGCAATGTGGACCTGTGGTATCCCAACGTCATGGTCCCGCAGCCTGGCCCGAAAAAATAATAAAGACAACTGGCTCTATGGCCAAGATCCGGCATGTCGGCGTTGGGGATATGTGTTTTGTTGGGCTGGCGTAGGCCGCTCGGTTCTCCAGGTCATGCTGACTTTCAAGGAATAGCTTGAAGTCAAACTTGGCGAGCACTGGAGTACGTGGAGACTGGGGGACTGTCGTAGGGCACTTTTTTGCTTTTGAGGTTTGATATCTTGAGCAAGTTACACGCTTGCTTTGCTGAAGGGTGCTGGTAACTGCGAGTTCTGAATCACTCAACGGCGTCCTCTACATGGATTGTTGTAGCATGCTTCTAGTTGCTTCTTTTCATTCACCAAGAGTAGCTGCAGATCTCTCAGCCTTTGTCTTGTCTTTCCTGCATTGGAATTGGACAGTGACTCCGAATGGAGTCCAGTATGGAAAGGCAAGCTTGTTGTTTCTTCAAGTCTGCAATCCCCTCAAAAGGAGTAAGTCCCTTGAACAAAGTGACAACCACTAAAAGCCCGGGTTTAAATTTCAAGGCTTTATGTCTAGGACTTCGCTTACAATTGAACCTAGATTCTTAGTTTGAATCAGATCTTAAATCGCATGTCCCTTGCAAGTAGGATTTCGAGTAGGATCTAATTAGAACTCTTATTTGAATTCATGTTGAACAGGATTTGATTTCCAAATATGAGTCAAATTCGGGTGTAATTAGACATATTATTTGAATTAGATGTTCAGCAGGAGTTCCTTCCAATTCTACAGAGGAATTCCTTTCCAAGCATAATGTGAATCAAGGAATTCAATAGAGGTATGATTTTGATTTTGAATAAGAACTCCTTCCAAATAGGACTATAAGTGGAATTCAGCTAGAATTTAAATAGAATCGAATAAGGCAACACAAGCTAGTTCTTCTAATTTGCCCGCCCCCAAGCTGAAAACCTCTAAAGACCCCCTCCCCCCAACGCAACGCACAGGCTGCTGATCTTCGCTTGCACTGGCCTGACCTGCGTCATGGCCCAGACCCACCGCTGCCACAAGGAGCATCTCAGCCGCCGGAGGCAGGATCGAAGCGCCTGTCGCCATCCGCGGGCGGATGGGAACCCCAGCCTGGCGGTTTCTCTTTGGTCAAAATGGACGCATGGCCATGGCTCGAAACCAATGGGATCCCATTTTGGGATAGGTGAATTCACCACCCATTTTAGAACCTATTTTAGTGGGGATTGGGATGTTCACTGGGGGTACGGGGTTTTGACCCATGGCCATATTTTGACCATGGCATTCAGCCTCAGGCACTGGTTGGTGGTTCCCTTTAACTTACCGCTGGGGGGTTGACTTGTTAAGTCACTCCCTGCGTTCCTGGGGGCTGTAGACTTTTTGGGCAAACCAGTCTGCTGGTAAGCAAAAGGTTTGGACTTTGTTTTGGCTAGCCTACTCAAAAAGGGAGTCAATGGGAAGCTCGGATGAATAAACTATTCTACCAGTACCTAAGTCAACCCCCCAAGTGAAAGGTCACAGCATACCACCATTGAAACCCAGAAATGGACAAAAAAATGACCCCAGATTAGACCCCTGGTTAATAGAGGCTTTTAGTGGGGATTCACCCCCCCCCTTCAATGGGGTTTATGTGTCAATCCAGGGTCAACATTAGATGAAGGTTAGTAAGGACAATCCCAACCAGACATAGATGCGGATATCCGCCTTTGGGATTATTTTCATTGGGTACAGGATTTTTTGATGCAAGTTCCTCCACTATTGTTTCCTACTCCTTGAGTTCATAGACTTTAGTCGCTGTTGGGGAAGACCATGTTAGTCTCAGTTGTTCAACACCGACCTTTTGACCTTTGGCTTTCCCGGCTTGAACCATATTTAGTTAAGGTTTCGAAAGCTTTACCTTTCATGCCGAAGAAGAAGAAGGAAAGGGGGGGCGTGCGGGATAACTGCGCTGATTGCAGGTAAGATCCGCACAGTAGTTTGTGTGTGTGTGTGCTTGTGTATGGTTGTTTGTTAGTTTGCTTGCTTGCTTGTGTGATTGATTCTTGCTTGGTTGGTTGTTTGTTTGACCGGTGCGAATGAGGCAGCCATGGCCATGTTTTGATTCTTTAGCATGTCATATAGATACTATATATATATACACACTAAGTTTCAGATAACCCTAGTTGGCGGCTTGCTTGGATTGGTGGTTTGGGCCTGGTTTGGGGACCCGAACCCTTGGTGTTTGTAGAGGGTTGTTGGGACACCCCTCCGGATCACCACCAAACCAGCAATTCAAACCACCAATTCGTGGAAAGCTGATATATTAAGTTCTATATGCATGCTCTATACATTCATTCCTCAGTGCTTGGTTTTGTTGGGACCCGATTTAGGTGACCCTTAGTTCGATGGCTTGGATTGGCTTCGGGATTGGCTCCCCTGGTTCTTGCAGAGTGTGAAAAGCAAACCACCCTCGAGCCTCCAAAGTGGAAGTGCAACCAGTTAGATGGAAGCTGGAATGTATTATAGTTGTTTTTTGCATGTTGTATTAACGTATTGATTTGTTTGTTGTTGGTGTGCAGATGTCGGAGACTGTTTTGTGGTTTACGCAACGTGTTTCACGTGCGTTATTTCCGTGGACTTTACATTGTATGTCTATTATATGTTTGTTCGAGTTGTTGCTGTGGCATGCACAAGCAAGCTGTTCTGTATGTTGAATACTTCTCAACAGTCATGAGAAACAACTTGCGAGCTACGTTTTGCAATTATAACGTGTCATTTCTGAGTCTGTCTGGTGAAAGGTGTGTGTTTGCGAGCTACGTTCCCGCTACAAAATTGCGATTGCAGATGGGAAGAAGCACACGTGAAACACGTGAAATGCCGAGAAAAGGAATGGAGGGTCCCCCAAAGTCTATTTTGCGAATTCGCCCTTTATGGTCCGAATGCTTACACAGGTGGCATGACTTGATGTCCCAAGTCGCTGTATGCCACTAATTTGCTTCTAATTTGCTTGAGAAATCTTCAGTGGAAGGGTCTGACGTTTCATGGCCTCGCTAGGTTGAAGACTAAAGCCCGTCAAATCGCATGACAGGAAGTTCAGCATCCTGTACTTCACAGTGCTCTTCGCTTGGGACGTGTGCGATCAAACGGCGTCCTGGTGGTTCTGGCAGTACACCAGCGATGTGGGCGCTTCCAAGGCACGCTTGGGGCCTGCTCCAACCGTTTCGCGTGAGCGCAGTTTGTGTTCGGGTTTGTGAGCCAAAGGCTGCACTTACACACCTCAAATGACTGAGGAAGCTGCCCGTTGAAATAAGATTTGTCCCAGCAATATCACAAATAGAGCTGCCAAGCACCTATGAGAGTTGTTGCGCATCCTACTGCTGAATATTGCATGATGTTCAACCCTACCTTGAGGAGAGCAGCGCTAGCAGCCTGTCTTTGCGGGTGTTTTAGGAGGCGGGTCTTGGCGGAAAACAGCAATTTCATTGTATTACGCTCTCCTTCCGGTCCCGCAATAGGAAACTGATCTTCCAGAACGCTCCAATTCATGTTCGTTGCCAATCCATCAGTGGGCATGCAGGAAGTGAATAGGTGTTGGTTGCCAGGTGCTGAGATTGGCTGCACATGGCGATAGGTTTCCATATCCAACGTTTCCTGTTTCCTAAAATCTGAATCCAAAAGCAGGATTTGGGACCCCTAAAACAGGTTTCCAACCAACCAAACACTCACTCCCTGAGTTTGGGGACTTCATACTTTTTGGGAAGACCGCTTTACTGACAAACAACAAGTTTGGACTTTGTGTTGAGCCATCCACTCAGGAAGTGAGAACATTCTTTGTTCACTTTTGTTTTCCAGGTTCATTGGTTGCAACTAGGCCAAGGAGAAGCAATGTGTTCTTCATGATTCGTCAGCCTTTGCCACGCCTGGACCATAGTCCAGTTGCCCGTCCCCTTTCTTCCAGGGTTCAAATTAAAGTGGCGAATCCAAAAAAGCTTGTGTTTTCACCAGCTGGGGTCTATGGCCAATGGCTCGTCGTTTCCGGGGTCCCTTTTCGGGCTTGATTGAAGGGAGACCATTCTGGGAACCCATCATTTTGGTGAATCCGGTTAGACACACCCACAGGGAGCTGCCGTTCGATAGGTGGTGCAAGGGCTTGCTATGGCATCGGCCATGCTCGGTACCATGGTCATCCTGAGCGCCTTCTTCGCCACTCGGACAGCCACAACAAATGCATGAGGTCCAAAAGGGCCCAGTTGAGGGACTCACTTGTCCAAGGCGAATCGGCTTGGTGACCTGTATAGGTGTTCCTATGTTGTTCAATTTTTAGTTGTGGCCCCAAAAGGCTAACCTTTTATTTCTGGCTCCTTTGGGCAAGGCAGAAGAAGTACTGTTCCCAACTCTTGCATTATTCTGTATGCCCATCGTATACACATGCATATGCGGCCTCAAACGCGCTGATGCGCCGAACACGACCTTTGGCGGTTTGACCGGTTCACAGCAGGGAATGAAGGAAGGTCCCCGAACAAAAACGTCCCCCATGGATTCCTTTAAGAGAAGAATCCAGTTCTGGTTCATTCCCAAGACCCTGACTCGGTCATGTTTTTTACCTATCCAATCAGCAAGATGAATCTGGAATCTGCGTGCCGAGGCCGGGCTGTTCATGACCACTGGACAGATGTTGGACCATCACGGCCCAGAGCTGAGCTATTCGGTGGCCGCGGGAACTGCTGATGCTGCCCGGACGATGGGTCCAATGGGTCGGCCCCAGTTTTTTTTTTTTTTTTTTTTTTTTTTTTTTTTTTGGGGTACCATTTTGTGGTTTCAATGCGAACCTCAAAAGGAAAGCCGCCATCTTTGGGGGGGTCCAGCGTTAAGCCAAATATCATAAAGCGATCTTAAGCCCATGGCACGGGGTCCGGCCAATGGCCTCGCGGTCCCAGCTCTCTCAGTCTCCTCCCTGCATCCCCGCCTCAAAGGTTTCGTGTCGTGAAGCGCTTGCCGGCCGGGCGAACGCTGGCGAGTTGTCACACTTTGGGGCTGGCCAGATGCAACACATGCGCCTAAAGCAGGCGAGGGCCTTTCATGGGTTTTCCCGAGTGAGGCTAAGTACGCCCAGATTCTCACGCCCTTCCCCAGAATCCTGCAAGTGAAGAACACGGTCAGCTTTCGTTCCTACAATAATCTACAATATTGTATTTTCAATCGGGGTGAACACTGCTACGCAACATGCAAAGATCATTCTGACCAATTTGACCCTGGTGTGTCGTGTTGCACACTTCTAAGAAGGCAAAACGGTCGTCCTCCTGAAGCAGTGAGCATGTTGCCAATGCATGTCATGTTTATCTCATTGTATCCTTTGTGTTGCTTTCACAACTCATCAGGTTTGTTGTGCTATCGTGCAAGGTGGGGACAGCAGTGACTCACGACCTACTTTCTTTGGCAGGAGTCATGCATGCCTTGCATTTGCATTTGTTGGGTTATTGCAAAAACTAGGGGCTTCCCAGACTCTGTTTTTTTTGCTTAATTTTTCCTAAGACAGCAAGCAAATTCGCGAACCCCCCTGTGTTTGGTTTTCTGAACACTTGATCTCCTGCAACATTTGGCTCAAGGCCCCTTTTGTGTATCATAGCAACACTCATGATTGCGTGACAAAAGAACCTTTGCAGGCCGCTTACAGGATTATCCACAAGACAATCCACCAGGGACAATCCACCTCCAATCATCCATAGTGGCATATTGGATTCTCTCCGGAATAGATCCAGGAACCAAATCAACGACCTCTACTACCACAAAGGTACCAGTTCCCTTCTGGGATAGGTACCCCGGCAGTGGGCCTCAATTTTGTGGTAGCGGGGCGGGTTTTTCTGCAGAGATCCAAGGGAAGATGTCATCCGATGGAGAAGGCTTCATGGAAGCCTATTCAAGTATGGCAAAGCCACAAGGCTATACGGAGGAAACTCTCAATTTATCGATGACCGCCAAGCAGCCGCCATCGTACGACGGAAAAGTCAGCTGGCTCAGGTATGAAGAACTCGTGGACGACTGGGTGACAATCACAACAGTAGAAGCACCCAAGAGAGGACCTCTGCTCAAGAGCAGATTGACCGGAGATGCATATATGTATAAGGCAGTCCTCCAAAATGACCTTTTGCAAGATCGTGATGAAGGAGTCAACTACTTCAAGAACACGCTGAAGAAGTACTTTTGGAAAGGTGCGACCAACGTGTATCTGTACAGGCTCCTCAGTTTCTTCAACCATCGAAGGCAGAACCAAGAGTTCCTCATTTTTACCTCAAATTTTGAAATCCTTCTTATGAGATTGAAGGCAGCATGGATGGACTTGATGCCAGTTTTTACGGCACAGTCTCCAACATTTCGACAGTCCGTACAGGAAGCAAATTCAAGAACAATTGCTCGACATCAGCAAGCAGCCGGTGTTCGAGCACCGCCTCCAGCCCTGCTCAATGAGGATGATCCAGTAGTCCTCAGACAATATATCACGGGAATGCAGGACAGACAGCGGGACGCATTTCCCTTCGGGGATAATCTCATTGCACAGTTTTTCATCATTCAGAGTGTACTGTCAGATCAGCAAAGAGAGAGACTGACAAGTGCAATGTCATTGAGAAACATCTCATTAGAAAACTACTCCTATGAGATGCTGAAGACACATTACCATGAACTCTTCATCACGACGAGGACATCCATTCAAGATCCATCCATCCGACCTCAAGGAGGCAACCGAAGCACCACATTCTTCATCATCGAACAAGGTGAATATGAAGGAGAAGAAGGCTTCTGGGTTGAGGATGAAGAAGGACTTGAAGCATTCATGTCTAACAACGATGAAGAGACGCCCTGGGTCCTCGAGGAGAACGATGCGTTCATAGCAAGAAAAGTGTCGGGGCGGAATTTCAATTTCAAGAAGAGAAAAGGAAAAGGAAAGTCAGGAAACAAAAAGGGCAGTCACCAACGAGGTGGCTTTAAACCCTTCAGAAAAAGCGGTTCTGGCGGAAAGGCCAATATGGCCAACGAAAACTATGATCCCTACGACCAGGCGTATTGGGGAAAAGGCAAAGGAAAGAAGGGAAAGAAAAGAATCAAAATTCCAATATCCCTATGATGGAAACAAAGGTTATCCATCCTATGAGAATGGCAAAGGAAAGAGCGACCAGGAAAAAGGAAAATCCAAGACGTTCGCAGCCACCGCAGAGAAGACGGAGGAGCAGCCCGCCATCCAGCAGACTGCACCATCCATAGAGCCTACCTATGCCGGTTGGACAGACCAAGACTGGGATCAATCATGGACATGGGACGAACATGGCTGGTACTCATCCCATGAGACATCCAGCGCAGGACAAGCGCTAATGGCATTCCATGATGCATATGAGCATCATGAGAAAAAGGCTATCCACGGGAAGCTGATCCAATCAGATACAGTTTCAGAACACAATCTGTCCGTCACAACAAATCACAGCCTTCTGGCAACAAAGCTGATGGCGCCTGTCATCAACCCTGAGCACAATCCGACCTATGCGATTCTGGACAATGGATGTACCAGATCTATGGGCAGCTGGCATGCAATCCAGCGTTTTACTCAGGCTATCGAACCGATGAAGGACATCATCTCCTATCAGTACATCCCGGCCGAGACCAAGTTCACTTTTGCAAACGGAGAGACCGCCAGGGTAAATTGGACCCTGCATCTTCGATATCACACAACTCCTCCATGCAGTACCAACATCGACGTCCTCGAACAAGGAACTGTACCGATCCTCCTCAGCATCAGTCAGATGCGGAACCTCTACATGACCATTGAGCACACACCTCAATGTGACAAGATCACGTGCAAGGCCTTTGGCATGAACCGTCAAGCAGTTCCAGTATCCGGTACAGGACATGCACTCGTCGATCTTGCTGAAGGCACATGGAGAAATTGCTCACAAAGGCCTCACCAACTATGTCTATGACGATGATAACAGCATCAAGTTTCCCTCCGGGGATCCCACCAAGAGTGAAACTGTCTGTGCAGCAAAATCATCCGAGACAAAGGAGGACCTAGCAACTCCTAACATCATTGGGTCTCAAAAGCAGGACCATTGGATCCTTGACAAGAAGAACAAGCAGCTCATCCGTGTGCACATCATGCCCCGAAAGGCGCTGTTCACACCAAATGGAGCCAAGGAGTGTCCAATCAATCCTGATAACATTAGCCGAGAGCGTACTACGGAAGTCATTGATGCATCCGTAGGTGGAGATCCAGACATCCTAGAAGACAATTGGAGACTTACATCCCAGGCAAATAAACCGATGATTAACCTGTGGATAGGTAAGACCATTTTCACCTTCGCGGACAATTCACTTAAGGACGAAGAAGCAGGTTCAGGATCGGCAGCAGACAGGATCATCGACAAGAAGGGCCGGTCGACCATTGAGCCAGATCCTTTTGCACCATCCTCAGAAGAACCAACATCGCTTCCGCTTGCCCTAGGCAGAATCCACAAGCGATTGTCAAATTCCGAAGAGTTGAAGAAGCTCCACCTACAGCATCATCACATGACAACAGATCAATTTCGATTTAGAACCCGCGCACTTCATTTGCCGAAATCAACATTCCATCTATTTGACAAAATCCGAAGTGAGTGTGAAGTTTGCCAAGCGGCAAAACATGCACCATCACGAAGCAAAACAAGTGGACTTCGAGCGGACACCTTTGGTGACATGACATTCATTGATCACTGTCAAGTTCCTCTTGGAACAGGAGATCACATCATTGTTTTTGTCATCCTGGATGGAGCAACAACATTGCTCA